CTTCCTATGTTACGGACGAGAACCACTCACACCCCAGCAGCCAACCACGCTGGCACATGTCCAAGCCGCACATGATTTCGTCACCACCATGCAGCAGCTATGGGAGAAGACTCAGCGACGAATCACCACGATGCAGACCTCCCAGAAGCAGTATGCCGATCGTCAGCGACGAGATCACTCAGTAGCAGTCGGAGATCAGGTGCTTCTTAACACGCGCAACTTGAACCTGTCTCACCTCCCATCCAAACTCCGGCCTCGCTTCTGTGGTCCTTTTCTCGTTGAGGCACAGGTGACACCAGTAACATTCTGCTTGCGCTTACCTACTACGTGGAAGCTTTACAATGCTTTCCATGTCCAGCTACTGAAACCCTACAAGGACCCCAACCACCAATTCCAGGGACGGCAGCTACCGCCACCACCACCTGTTCTCATCCAGGATGAACGTGAGTATGAAGTGGAGCGCGTTCTCTCTCACCGACGCCGCGGTGGCAAGTCCCTCGAGTTCCTGATACGCTGGAAGGGGTACGACCCCACTGAGGACAGCTGGGTTGCAGAAGCTGATATGGGCAACGCACGCCGTGCTCTCAAGGACTATCTTGTCAAGCAGGGTGTATCTCACGCCACCCAGCTTTGAGGGGGGGACGTGTGAGAGTACGACGGCTTATGCCAGCTATGCTAGCTTGCCTTTACTTTATTCTGCGATTTCTAGCATAGGATAATTATATGCATGCATGAATTGCTTGATTTCCTAGGCTAGGTGCTTTCCTATATTTTATTATAGTTATAGCACCGAGCTAGGTTGCGTGCACCGAATTCTGGCTTTTCGGTTGCCACCGAATTGACTTCTACCGAATTCGGGAAGGATCTGTTCGAGACGCTTCGCGACCCGCGGAACCTTCGCGTAACACCTGGTTACGGGGCCTTGTGTCGAGCCTATATATAGCCTCGTGTTGTACCCAGGTGATCATTCAATTCAATTCACATTCTCTTTTCTGAGCTCGATCCTAGATCCTCACACTTCCTATCACTTCCGTCACACGCCTACTAGGCTCTCCACCACGCCCAACCCCACCTCACTTCCCTCCCAAGTAGCGTGTTGGTGCTCACATATAGCGCATGTCCCAGAGGTTGCCAAGGGCTTCAGGGATGGTTCCTGTGAGGTTGTTCTAGCCCACATCCATGTGAAGTGGTTTCAGGTGTGGAAGACGATAACATCGGAGGAAGCTGAGAAAGAAAGGTTAGGGTTGAAAAGTGCGAGATATGGGACCAAGAGAGGTTGCTCTCTCGTTGAGTTACAAATAGTGCGAGTAGGGCCATTCGAGTGCAAAACACTCCACCAAAGGGATTAAAAATAGAGTGACGAAGAATAGAGAGGGGCAGAGAGGAGCGGAGAGGTGCACCAATGTCCGAGGAGTACAGCACATGGTAGAACACAGGGCGGGGCTGGTGTAGGTCCAATCCAAGGGGTACACGGCTTATGCCAGCTATGCTAGCTTGCCTTTACTTTATTCTGCTATTTCTAGCATAGGATAATTATATGCATGCATGAATTGCTTGATTTCCTAGGCTAGGTGCTTTCCTATATTTTATTATAGTTATAGCACCGAGCTAGGTTGCGTGCACCGAATTCTGGCTTTCCGGTTGACACCGAATTGCCTTCTACCGAATTCAGGAAGGCTCTGTTCGGGATGCTTCGCGACCCTCAGAACCTTCGCGTAACACCTGGTTACTGGGCCTTATCTCGAGCCAATATATAGCCTTGTGTTGTACCCAGGTGATCATTCAATTCAAACTCTCTTTTCTGAGCTCGATCCTAGATCCTCACACTCAGCTACTGAAGGTGTTTCTACTGGATTTCCTAGACCCGCTGGTCCCGGAGGTGCTCGTACTGGAGGTACTAGAGCTGCTGGGGCTGGAGCTACTGCTGGACCTGGAGGTGGTGCTGTCGACCCTGAGGTTGGAGACCCTGGAGCTGGTGGTGCCGGTTCTGGGGGTGCTGCTGTTGGAGACACTGAGGCTGGCGACCCTGGGGCTGGAGGTGCCGGTTCTGGCGGCTGTCCCCGGCACGCACCTCATGGCTTTGCGTCCTTCACCTGCTCCGCAGCGTGTTCCACTGCCGTCCCCTCCTGTGACTTCTCTGCCTGACGTTTCAGACCCTGAGTCTGACCGCGCTCGTGCTGCTCACCCTACTATCACGCGTCTACTTGCCACTGTTGTCACTGACCCTTCGTTTGAGTCCACTACTGCGTCTGCTTTAGTCGCTGAGCTTGTTGACATTGCTGCTGCCTGTCGTCTGGACTTCGCTGCTAGTCTTGTTGCTGAGTCTGAGTCTGTCTGTCCTCCGTCCGTCGGGGGTGAGTGTGCTCTTAACACGGACGTCCTGGAGGACAGGTAGGAGGACTTTGAGTGTCTTGCGGCTGCTGTACCTCATCTCGTGGCCATGCTGCTTGCCCCTGAGGGAGACCCGGATGCTCCAGACATCCCGACCCCGCGCTCTTACACAGAGGCAATTTCGGGTCCCTACTCCTCTAAGTGGCAGACAGCCATGGACGCAGAGATGGCATCCTGGAAGTCCACAGGCACTTACGTCGATGAGGTTCCCCCTCATGCGGCGAACATCGTCGATGGCATGTGGATTTTCAGGGTGAAGCGGCCGCCGGGTTCTCCGCCTGTATTCAAGGCTCGTTACGTTGCACGAGGCTTCAGTCAGCGGGAGGGAGTTGACTTCTTCCAGACCTTCTCCCCCACCTTGAAGATGACCACTCTTCGGGTTCTGCTGCACGTCGCCGCTCAGCATGACTACGAGCTTCACTCTCTGGACTACAGCACAGCCTTCTTACAGGGCAGTCTGCACGAGGAGATCTGGCTGCGGCGCCCACCTGGCGTCACTGCCTGGTACCCAGTGGAGCCTCCGTCGGCCGGTCTACGGTCTCCGCCAGGCGCCTCGTGCGTGGCACGACACATTGAGGACGACGCTTGCGGCTCTTGGGTTCGCCCCTTCCACTGCTGACCCGTCGCTGTTTCTGCGCACCGACACTTCGCTGCCGCCGTTCTACATCCCCGTGTACGTCGACGACTTGGTCTTTGCCACTGCTGACACTGAGGCTCTCGCCCTGGTGAAGTCGGAGCTGCAGAAGAGACACACGTGCACAGACCTGGGTGAGCTTTGCAGTTACCTTGGCTTGCAGATCACCCGGGACAGAGCACGCCGCACCATCACACTGACTCAGTCACACATGGTGCAGCAGGTCCTTCAGCGCTTCGGCTTCACCTGGTCCTCGCCACAGTCCACTCCCCTGGCTACAGGCCACTCGCTCTCAGCTCCACTTTCGGACGAGTCCGTAGAGCCGAGTGGTGCGTACCTTGAGCTAGTGGGCTGCCTCATGTACCTGATGACGTGCACTCGACCTGACCTTGCGTACCCTCTTGGCCTTCTGGCTCGCTACGTGGCTCCTGGTAGGCACCGAAAGGTGCACATGGATGCTGCTAAGAGGGTACTGCGCTACTTGTGCAGTACATCGGGCATGGGGCTCGTGCTTAGGGGGCGGAGCCCAGTTGTCCTCACTCGGCACTCAGACGCTTCTTGGGTTGACGACCTGGCTACGCAGTGGTCGTCGCAGTGTCGTGACGTCAATGTGGTGAGCCATTCTGAAAGGCGTCGGCTCGTCCTAGCTCTAGGCGCAGTCGTGGCTGCACGCGTTTATGAGAGAACGCGAGGACAGCGGCTCCTAGGTGGTAAGGGGTGTGAGTTCCTTCGAGTGAAAATCAAAAGTTAATATCTTTGGGTGCAGAGATGCGTAGTCTGAAAGAAAGTGGCACTGAATACCAAGTGTTACGGGTGCAATGGAACGAGATAACGAGGATTGCACTAGGTGTCAAACGAGCACAAAGTATGAGCGAATATTTATGTGCGAAAACATGGAACTGTTACGCGGTGCGTGCGAGCTAGCTAGTGCTAGACTGGCATCGAGGTTCGGGCTAATCCCGAAGCGTAGGCCGACTCGGCCAGGCTAGCGGTGCATGGTCTGGTAAAACAGTTCGTGCGAAGTTGGTGAAGCCCCGTTAGTAGTAACGGCCGAACAACGGCTGTTCCTCTTTCAGAAACGTGGGCAAGAATGGTATATCTGGCTCCATTCCAGAGTCGCTCACCAATCTGCAGAAGCTCAAGATTTTGTAAGTGGCATGCAGATGTTGAGGTCGGAGGCTTTCCCATGTGCGCCGCACAATCACACTGCATACAGGTACGAAAACAAGCGTATGAACTGAACCCTTACACCATAATTCTGTACTTCCTTGAAACCCCTGGCAGAGCACTTTATAATTGACAGTTTCTGTTCATCATGGAAGACGTTTGTTGTTTTGCCACATTCCGTGATCTTCAGTTCAGTTTCTGGTCTTCTAACACCCTGGTTTCCAGGTACTTGGATCACAACAACTTCACTGGTGCCATCCCTGCAAGTTTTGGAAACCTCCGTGAAGTTTCAGATCTGTACGCTGCTGATTGCCCTTTACACACAGCCCCACGCGACGTCAGCCATCACCATCTCTTCCGCCCCTACATTCGCTGGGATCCTCTCGTTCCGACCTCATAGCTCTAGCTCCCTGCCATGGCCTTCTTGTTTGCAATTCCCTGGCTTTCCTGTACACCTCTGTGCCTCATGCTCCTCCCCTCCACCACTCTTCGCCATCCCCCTCTCCCTCCCACCGCGTCTCTTGAAGTTCATTGCCATCTCAACGCTTCAATTCAACCATAAGTGCCCCATGTGTTGCCTGTTTCAGGGACGTACCTTCCTCCATACCTCTCCTCCTACTCACAACCGATAAATCTGTTCAAGACCGCCTCCGCTGCCCCCAATGGATCCATCTTCTTCTCCTCTCCATCCTCAAATGCGTCACGGGGAGCGGCCTTCATACAGAGGCCCATCACCCTATTCCTCTCTACCAGCAAAAAGACCCCCTGCGACCTGCCCATAGCCTTTTCGGTTTCGTTTGCATTTCGAATGACCCCTACTTATGCTGGTGGCTCATCCACAGCAGGCGAGGGTCTGGCATTTGTAGTAACTGCGGCAGCACCCCAGGAAGCTGCAGCGGGGGTGGGGCTGGGAGGGGTGGGGAAGCGGAGTGTGGCGGTGGAGTTTGACTCGGTGCTGAGTGTGAAGCACAGCGACCCCAACGACAACCACGTGGGCGTCAATGTGGGCGGCTCACCTGTGTCCTTCGCCTCTGCCACGGCCCCTCTCATCCTCAACGACAGCCACACCAAGCACGCATGGATCCACTACGACCCCACCAGCGGCGGCACCCTCCGAGTCTTCCTCTCAGCCTCCCAGCAGCAGCCGTACAAGGCTGTGCTGATGGCGAGAGTGTCTCTGTGCAGCGCGCTCAAGCCCACCGTTGGCAATGCCTCCTTCCTCTTCGGCTTTGTAGCTGCCTCGAACAGCACTCAGAGGCACGACATTCTGTGGTGGAACATTGTGACATGTGAGCGCAATAATGTTTTTGCTTATAGCGCATCATATTCTGTCCGCAGGAGCTGTTGAGAATACAACTATATTCACATACAATGAATTTCTCTCATGATGCTACCTTTCTTTCGACCTGGATCACTTGTAAATGCTTATCACCTACAGTGCATGTGTGTGTGCACACGCGTACATGCGTGCATGAGTGTGTGTGGGTGTGGGTGTGCGTGCATGATTGCGTGTGGGTGTATGTGTCTGTGTGCGATGGGGGGAAATGGGGGGTGGAGGGTGGGGGGGGGAGGGGGGGGGGGTGTGTGCGTGTGTGCGTGTGTGCATGTATATGTCAACCGATCTCTATGTGCACGTGTACATATGTGCAGAGACACCAAATGTAATTGTGGAATGGCCGAATCAGAATCCTGGTAAGAGCGTCATCATTGCCTTTCATTTCCCACGATCCACAATAAGATATTAATCAACCTCTTAAAGCATTGAACTTGTGGCTTCCTTTTCGAAGGTACTCATGGGTAGGCATCAAAGGGCGTCATAGTTACTCATTCGAACATCACCTTATATTCTGCAAACTCCCCCGGGGGCGAACCAACAGGTAGTAAATTCGGGCAGGTGGCATCAAAGGAAGAGGTCACAGCCAGCAGCGACATTGTTCCCTCTTCGTTCCACTATGCCAGCCTAGCCTTCCTTCCCAACGCTGACAAGCTGCCTTCGTGGAGCCTCCCCTCCTTTGTCTCGTGGATGCGGGATGAGTCAACTTGGCCCGTGAAGAACCAGCATGGATGCGGTATGGCATGGATGGGGTCTGGTATGGCATCAATGCTGTAGGGTATGGCATTTTTGGTGTTAAGAATGGTATGACATGACAAGGACACAGCTTGCTGTGGACGTATGAATGCATTTAATGGGAGTTGTGTTACGGGGTAGCTATGTTCTCTGCTCAAGCTTGAGTCCGGGCCTAGGTTTTTGCACACGCAGCTTGCACAATTGAAATCATACTCTATGAGGCTTCCGAAATATTCGGCTATCCTCTCTCCCCTGCTCATCACAGCCCCCAATCATTCCCCTTCCCCCTCTTGAACACTCTCCTCCCCCACTGTGCTGCAGCCGACTCCTCAGCATACGCGGTGGTGGCGGCTGTGGAGGCAGCCTACAGCATTGCGAGCAACGGGTCGCAGCCCCCCCGGCTGTCGGTGGAGCAGCTGCGGCTGGCCCTGTCGTCCAACTGCGACGACATGCCTCCGCGCGATGTGCTGGCCTTCCTGGTGGCTGCCACGCGCAAGGGAGGGGGGCTCGTGGATGACGCAGCAGCAGCGGCCGCCCGTCCCCACAGCATGGCGTCCGCCGGCCGGCGGGAGAGACTGGCCGCGGTGAGTTGCAGCGATAGGTAGATTTTGGTGGTGATGAACGATGATGCACGTGAGTGGAGATGATGAATTATTGGGAATGCATGGAGAACAAGGCAAACAGGAAGGCATTCGCACCACACCCATAAACACTGGAGAGCACTCACACCTCACCCTCTTCCGCTTTGGTGTTGCAGAAGGTGAAATATTACGGAGTTCAGGGCTTTGAGGAGAGCTTGTTTGGAGGCTGGCTGGGTCTGCTGCTGGCAGTGCAGCGGCAGCCAGTGATTGTGCGAATAGAGGCGTCTGCTCCATCATTCCTTGACTACGATGTGTCAGATTTATATGACATAGCTACTGTAGGCTATAGTGGGGTGGCACATATGGGGTACAGTTTTCTAGGGTTTGCTTTTTGTACCCAACTTTCACTTAGTCATTTCATTCCTCGTTTCTTCTCATGGTATCGAGCAGGTTCCCTAGTGGGAACGATTCCTAGGGCCCACCACCACGAAATTATTTTTTTTTTCCTGCCCGGAGCGCGTTTTGCTCCGGCCCGAGTCGCGCCGCCCCTACGGCCCTTCGCGCCGCCCTTTCGGCCCGTCGCGCCCGTCGCGCCTGTCGCGCCCGTCGCGCCCGTCGCGCCCGTCGCGCCCGTCGCGCCCATCGCCACCTTACGCGGCCCCGCCACCTACCTTCGCGGCCCCGTCACCTACCTGTGCGGCCCCGCCACCTACCTCCGCGGCCCCGCCACCTACCTGTGCGGCCCCGCCACCTACCTTCGCGGCCCCGCCACCTAACTGTGCGGCCCCGCCACCTACCTCCGCGGCCCCGCCACCTACCTGTGCGGCCCCGCCACCTACCTTCGCGGCCCCGCCACCTACCTGTGCGGCCCCGCCACCTACCTCCGCGGCCCCGCCACCTACCTGTGCGGCCCCGCCACCTACCTTCGCGGCCCCGCCACCTCACTGTGCGGCCCCGCCACCTACCTCCGCGGCCCCGCCACCTACCTGTGTGGCCCCGCCACCTACCTCCGCGGCCCCGCCACTTGCCTGTGCGGCCCCGCCATCTACCAGCGGCCCCGCCACCTACATGCGGCCCCGCCACCTACTAGCGGCCCCGCCACCTACCTGCGGCCCCGCCACCTACCTTTGCGGCCCCGCCGCCTCCTCTCAGCGGCCCCGCCGCCTCCTCCCAGCGGCCCCAGACGCCGCCCTCTCAGCGGCCCCGCCGAGCCGCCCAGCAGCCAAGCCGCCCAGCCGCCGAGCCGCCCAGCAGCCGAGCCGCCCAGCAGCCGAGCCGCCCAGCAGCCGAGCCGCCCAGCAGCCGAGCCGCCCAGCAGCCGAGCCGCCGAGCCGCCCAGCAGCCGAGCCGCCGAGCCGCCCAGCAGCCGAGCCGCCGAGCCGCCCAGCAACCGAGCCGCCGAGCCACCCTACAGCCGAGCCACCCGAGCCGCCCTGTCCGGTAAGAGCAGCGCCCCTTTCACAGCACTGCCCTCACCCTACTGTTTGCGCTGCTAGTCTACTGCTGTCATGGCTACCCCTAGTGTCCTCGCTTTTGACGCTGAGGGTCGGGCCATTGACTTTGACGTCTGGATAGATGACCTGCAGCTTTTCTTACAGTGCGACAGGGCAGACGGCCTCTCCCTCTTTGACCTCACTTCTGGTGCCTCTCCTGCCCCCGCTGCTGCTGCTGACGCCACTGTTCGCTCCCAGTGGGCCACGCGCGATGCTGCTGCACGTCTTGCTGTGCGTCGCCACCTACCTACCTCTGAGCGTGCGCACTTTAGCCAGTACAAGAGTGCTCAGACCTTGTACGACGCTGTAGTTGCGCGCTACTCCTCCCCTGCCACTGCTGCACTTAGCCGCCTCATGCTACCGTACCTCTTCCCCGACCTTGCTGCCTTTCCCACAGTCGCTGACCTCATTACGCACCTCCGCACTAGTGACACTCGCTACCGCGCTGCGCTTCCTGCAGAGTTCTGCGCCAAGAACCCCCCCCCCATGTACATCACCCTCTACTACATAGTCACCCGGCTCCCTGACTCCCTTCGCGTAGTCAGGGACCACTTCCTCTCTGTTTGCCCCACCACTCTCACCGTTGACCTCCTTGAGAAGTCCCTCCTAGCAGCAGAGAAGAGCATAGTAGCTGTAGGAGCCTCTCGTGGTGACCCTCGCACCCCCATCTTTGAGGGGTGTTCCCCCTCCCCCCTTTTGCCCTCTGTTGCCTCTGCTGCTGCGGCCGACCTCGTTGGGCTTGAGTCGGTCGGTGCGGCGTCTACCCCTAGCGGGAGACGCCGCCCTGGCAAGGGCAAGGGGGGCAGGGGCACTGGAGGAGCTAGCGGGGGCGGTGGAGGCGGCGGTGGAGGCGGTGGAGGGGGTGGGGGTGGCGGTGGGGGTGGTGGCGGGGGTGGAGGTGTCGGTGGTGGCAGTGGAGGCGGAGGCGGCGGCGGCGGTGGCGGTGGGAGCGGAGGTGGCGGCGGTGGAGGAGGAGGCGGCGGAGGAGGTGGAGCTGGTCGGGGTGGCGCTGCGCAGAGAGTCGGCTCCGGTGGTGGTCAGCGCCAGCAGCAGCAGCAGCAGCAGCAGCGCACTCGTGACATCCCCTCCCCTCAGCAGCTCCGTGAGTGGTACGCTGCACGCCAGAGGGGTGGGGGTACTGGTCCGTGCACCTACGTCCTCCGCACCGGCGACCGCGCGGGTGAGCAGTGCGGGGGTGCGCACTCCACCCAGCGCTGCTTTGGCCGCCTGACGGACGCTTGGCGTCACCAGTTCCCTGAGGCCACTGAGATCCCCCGCTGGGGTGAGCTGTCTAGGGTGGGTGTGGCTGTCTTTGACCTTGACTTTGATGCTATTCTTGCTGCCATGTATACTGTGACTATTAGTGATGAGGGTGACTGTTACCGGTGTTTTCCGCCCGACCCGGGCGTTGAGACTGCTGCTCTAGGTACTGGTGAGGCTGCTGCTCTAGGTGCTAGCGAGGCTGCTGCTCTAGGTGCGTCTGCTCCCTCAGGTGCTGGTGAGTCTGCTCTCTCAGGTTCTGCGTCGGCCTCGGCCTCCCACACCTTCACCCTTGACTCGGGGGCTTCTCGCTCCTTCTTTCGAGACCGCACCACACTCACGCCGCTTGGCCGGCCAGTTGCGGTCTCTCTGGCAAACCCCTCTGGGGGTCCTGTCCTTGCTCACTTCTCCACTGTCCTCCCGTGTCCGGCGGCCCCCTCTGGCACCCTGTCTGGTCTTTACCTCCCCTCGTTCTCTACGAACTTGGTGAGTGGTGCTGACCTACAGGATGCGGGGGTTCACCAGTTCACTCCTGGGAGTCAGCGGGTGACCCACTGCACGGACGCTCGGACTGGCCGACACCTGGCCACGTTTACCCGTCGGCCGGGGTCGAGCCTGTACACCCTGACCACTGCGTCTCCTCCAGTCACTGCGTCTGGTCAGGTAGCTGCGTCAGGTCAGGTGTTTGCTGCAGCGTCCAGGTCTGGTCCTGAGTCTGCCCCCTGTTCGTGTCGCCTCCTGTCTCACGAGACTCTCCTCTGGCACCACCGCCTTGGTCACCCCTCCCTGCTTCGTCTCCGAGGCATGGCCTCCCGTGTCCTTGTCTCTGGTCTTCCCCGGTCCCTCCCTCCCCTTCCTCCGGGGCCTGGCCCTACCTGCGTCCCCTGTGTCGAGGGGCGGCAGCGGGCTGCCCCTCACTCCTCCCAGTTTCCTCCGACAGAGGCCCCGCTGCAGACGCTTCACATGGACGTGTGGGGCCCGGCCCGCGTCCGTGGACAGGGTCACGAGCGCTACTTCCTGCTGGTGGTTGACGACTACTCGCGTTACACCACAGTCTTCCCCTTGCGCAGCAAGGGTGATGTCACTGAGGTGTTGATCGACTGGATCCGCGCAGCTCGTCTCCATCTCAGGCAGAGCTTCGGTTCGGACTTTCCTGTTCTGCGTCTGCACTCTGACAGAGGTGGAGAGTTCTCCTCTGGCCTTCTGCGAGCCTACTGTCGAGCACGAGGCATCCGCCAGACCTTCACGCTTCCGGACTCTCCACAGCAAAATGGGATTGCTGAGCGCCGCATTGGCATGGTCATGGACGTCGCCCGTACGTCCATGATGCATGCGGCTGCCCCCCGTTTTCTGTGGCCGTTTGCGGTTCGGTACGCGGCGCATCAGATCAACCTTCACCCTAGGGTCTCCAGACCGGAGACCTCCCCTGCTTTGCTGTGGACGGGGAAGGTTGGCGATGCGTCTGCGTTCCGTGTCTGGGGATCTCGGGCGTTTGTCCGCGACTTGTCTGCGGACAAGCTGTCCCCTCGTGCTGCTCCTTGCGTCTTCCTTGGCTTCCCCCCTGACGCGCCAGGGTGGCAGTTCTACCACCCCACCTCTCGCCGTGTTCTGTCCTCCCAGGACGTCACGTTTGACGAGTCGGTCCCCTACTACCGCCTCTTCCCCTACGGCACTCCGTCCCTCCCCCCACCACCGCTCTTCCTTGTGCCAGGTCCCCCCCCGGTAGACCCCCTCCCCCCTCAGGGTCCTGCCCCTTCAGGTGTGTCCCAGGTAGACGCAGTCGAGCCTGTCGAGGTTACTGGTGACTCTGGTGCTGCTGAGGGTGCTGAGCCTGGGGGTGCTGACTCTGGGGGTGCTGAGCATGTGGGTGCTACACCTGGGGGTGCTGAGCCTGAGGGTGCTACTACTAGGGGTGCTGAGCCTGGGGGTGCTGAGCCTGGAGGTGCTACTACTGGAGGTGCTGAGCCTGGGGGTGCTGAGCCTGGGGGTGCTGAGCCTGGAGGTGCTACGCCTGGAGGTGCTGGGCCTGGGGGTGTGGAGCCTGAGGGAGCTGGGCCTGCTTGTGTGGCGTCTGGCGGTGCTGAGCCTGGAGGTTCTCCGGGTGCTTCGTCTCGGCGGGAGCCACTCTCTCCACAGGAGCTGCGCGAGTGGTTTGCCCGGCGCTGGAGGCGTGCTGCTGGAGCTGGAGGTTCTTCGGCTACTGAGGGTGCTGGTGCCGCGGGTCCCGGAGGTGCTCGTACTGGGAGTACTGGAGCTGCTGGGCCTGCGGGT